CCATGCCCGGCTAATTTTTTCTATATATTTTTAGTTGTCCAATTAATTTCTTTCTATTTTTAGTGGAGACGGGGTCTCGCTCTTGCTCAGGCTGCACATACTCTTGCTAAAAGAAGCAATGTATGTCTATAACAAATACAGAGTAAATTACAAAAAGAGAAGGAAAATGAGTGGTTAATAAAATTCCATTCCACTGTGAACATCAAATTCCTCTTCTCTGTAATATTATTGAAACATTTGGTCTGGCATGTCTCAGGTTGTGTGTGTTCTGACCTGGTAGTACATTTTTGCTTTTACTCCCACCATCTTCTACATCTAATTCAGGTATCTTTCAACCCACTCATTTTCTTTTACTACAATTAAAATACTAATCACTTGAAAATTATCAATTGTTTTCTTGCCATTATGTAAAATCCACTTTGTAAAATACAGACATTTATAGCCCTAAGTATATAAACTTCCTCAACTATAATTCTAATATTCTAGTTATTTATGTTGTGATTTGTTGTATAAGACAGGAGAATTCAAGCTTTTTTGATGGAATATGTTAGTATAGTCTACAAAGTACCTATAAATACCCATTTGGGGATGGACTTTATATTTTTCTACAGATTTAGATGAAATAAATGTTTTATAGGATTAGTACTTCTGGGAAAGTGTCACTCCATTCGTCTGAAGTTTTTTCTTCTGTGTTTTGTTTTCTATTATCTCCAATGTTTCAAGTATCTTTAATGACCACAGTGACTGAGGTTTGAAGTAGTAGGCTTGTGACAAAATACTATCTTATAGAATTATTTTTCTTAACTATAGCATTCCCATAACTTCCATGCTATACAATACTGACATTCATAAAATCTATAGTTATTTTCAAAAACATAACAGAAAAATTAATCTAAAAAATATTTGGGAGAAGGTGTTTTCATAGTTACTGTGAGCACTTCATTCACCAGGATACACTATGAAGTAGCAATGATGTGGGTCAGAGATCATTTCCAAAATCGGAGGAAAGCAGTCACCTATAAACATCACTATACGCAACCCTCCACTGCTAAATTTGACTGGCTTATAAAAAAAAAAATTACTATGCAATCATTCAGTTTGTTCTAAAATCAGGGCTGCATCTCAGGAATGAAGGTTTGTCTGTTAAGGGAAGATGAGAGAAGATACAAATTTCCGGGAAGGTGTGAACCCAAGAATTATTCCATGGAAACGCAATGTAGTAAAATGTTTCTCAATAACTCTAAACTAAAAAAGCTATTTCAAAATAAGAAGTAGCCTGTAGAGATATAGTAAGTTTAATCTTCAGTCTCCTGCTGGAAGGGCTAAGAATCTAGAGACTCAGTTGCAATTTGGAATGGAGGACAGTGTAGATAATGAAATAAAAGATTTTACTCTCTTCATATGTCCTTGATACCATCACTACAATCAAGGTAACAGACATTTCCAACACTTCCCAAAGCTTCCTTGAGAACATTTTAAATGAAAATGAAATATCTAAAGTTAATCAACAGTCTTTTTTATCATGGTTCTTTCACCTTCTTATATATAGCATCACAAAATAAGTAACCATTAAATGTCACTTAATTAAGACAATGTATTATTTTTTTTATTCATACTTCCAACATGTAAGTATGGAGTACACACTATGCCTCAGCTAGGAACTGATAATATAACAAGAACATGACATGATTCAGCCATGGCTTTCAAAGAGTTCTTGTTTTGGGGAAGGAGACAAATTGATCCACAATTACAATATACTCTGATAAGTATTCTGGGAAAGAAGTAACTGGCAAAGGATGCCAGAGGAAAAGCATAAAAATCAGAAAGAGAAATGAAGAAGGCCTCCAGGATGTGCTCCACTGGAACTGAGTCCAAAAGGATCTACAGGAGCTAGCAAGTTAGAAAGGCAGAGAGGTGGACATGTTGGTGGTCAGCATCGGAGATGGAATTCCAGAGGGAACAGCAATGGAGAAGGCACAGCGTGTTCTAAGTCCCACGATTTACTATTTTAAGAGACATAATGCCATATAATTGTTCATCTAGATAACCAAGAGAATGAGGTAAAATTTTTGCAACTAAATAATCTACACTTAATGTTAACCTTTTAAATTGCCTGAAAATATGTAACTCTCAATGTAGAGCCAAACTTTTGATTCTTTACTAATAATCAAGATTAT